ACAGGAAAGCCTTGGACTAAATAATTTATTGCTGAAATCTTTGTTTTAGAGGTGTATCTGTTTTCTTCCTTGCTTTGGGCCAATTTGATAAGTTTTTCTCCACTTAAAATGGGTCCTTACTGAAAATTCAACCATTAATAATTAACGTAACATTTCTGCAAATTTTCATCCAAATATGACATTCTAAAACATATCACAGTCTGTTATTATAGTGCCTGCCAGCCATGATCAGTAGGAAAGCCTCAAAGAAGTCAGAGCGAGAGAAGGCTGAGGAGCAGTCATCTCTCGAGCTGGGACACAGCTCCAGGTGAGTGTGTGGGTGAGGGACCCCCGGAGGAGAAGAGACCCAGAACAGGCCATTACACAAAGAGGGCCTGAGTTCGAACTGCCCCCCTGCCAGCCCCATCAACACACACTGAAGAGACAGAACTCCTGTAGGATAACATCGGTATGTCCTGTCTCCCTTGACAGAGGGAGCTTGGATTTACTGGGTTGCACCCATTCACAGTGCTCCCAAGGCACTCCCATTCCTGTGTTTATCTGTGACCACCCATCAGAGGCGGCGAGAGAGAGCAACGGGGCTTCATATTTATATACACAGACTCTCACTTGCCACTGCTTCTCAAAGGGATGTCACAGCATGTCAATCCTGCATCGCAACCTTTGGAAGCTATTTACTCTTGAAACATTTTAATCTTTACCATTCACTCTAGAATGGGTAAGTTGAGGTTTCTTAGAGTGAATGCATAAATATTCCCAAATAAACCACAGTAAGTTTCAAATGGGTCCAGTAGTGAATAAATTATCTAGCAGAGTCAGGAAAAGATCTAAACGTGCTTGACTGTTCAATAATTCCTGTTTGTTCACCTGTATACAGGGAGGAGAAATTTCAAATAATTCTTAACAATATACATATGACCTAATTGAAAAAAAACTGTAGCGGCTGGAGCAATAGCACAGCAGGTAGAGGGTTTGCCTTGCACACGGTCAACCCGGGTTCGATTCCCAGCATCCCATATGGTCCTTTGAGCACTGCCAGGGGTAATTCCTGAGTGCAGAGCCAGGAGTAACCCGTGTGCATAGCCAGGTGTGACCCAAAAATAGAAAAACAAACAAACAAACAAACAAAAAAAACAAAAAAAGAAAAAAACTGTAGATAACTAATTTTTAACACTTCATTCATTATTTCTCATCACAGACTTTTGTTTGAAAAGGTGATACTAAGAGGATTCTATGTAATCCACACTAGACAAAATGGCAATTATAACTCCCTTGGTAATTTGTCACCATTAAGTTCTGCTTGCCAATATTTAAAAAGAAGGTCTAAAAAATAAGGTCTCTGATCTAATCTAGGGTAGAACAAAGCATAACAGAAAACTGAGAATGAGAAAAAAATCTACTTCCAAGGGAAAAGAGATTTTGCTTTTTATTTTTAGTCACACACCATAATTAAGCATGCTTAAGAGGGGCGGGGGCCTTGCATGCTCCTGAGAAGACTGAGGGTGGAGAGGAGGGAAAGACCCCCTATGCTTCCTGAGCACCGAGTGCCTGGGCGCTGCCATGAAGGACCCAAACTCACCCCTGCAAACACAGACCAAACATGATTTCAGACAGTCAAAAATAAAATAAAAAGTAGACACCTAACTAGAAAAATGTTTTCAAATCAATTTTATTTAACTGTGGGGAAATGATTATGAATTAGTTATCAGATGGCACAGGATATTTTGAAAATTTAAATTAGGAGTGCTAATGAGTGGGAATTATTTAGGATGCCATCGTGATTATTTGAGTTTTTTTTTTTTTAGATTTAATAAAGTATGACATGTCTGGGATGTGCTTCAAATATTTCAGCAATGTTGGGCCAGAGCGATCCTATAGCGGGAGGGCACTTGCCCTGCACTCACAGACCCAGGCTCAATCCCAGACATCTCCTGTGGGTCCCTTGAGCACTGCCAGGAGAGATTATTGAGTGCAGAGCCAGGAGGAACCCCTGCACATCACTGGGTGTGGCCCAAACCACCCCCCTCAAAAAAAATCTCAGCAATGAAAGAAAAAATAGATGAAGCAAATGTAGGAAAAGGGAAGAAACACTAATCCCGAGTGAGGCATATATTTCATTTTGAAAGTTTCAGTACAAAGTTAACGTGTAATCAGAATATTAGATAAAGCCAAATACAAAATTAAAAAGAACTGGGAGATGGAACTGCAGAGGAAATCCGACTGAGTCAAAGCTAAGGACGAGCAAACCCTCACCTTCCTTTGGGCTCGCGGCGGCAGGAAGAGAATCCCAATCAAGGGTCCACGTGGGGCAAGGGTGCGGAGCAAACATCACTTCAATGCCTTTTCCCTAGAAAAGGAAGTAAGTTCTTTCCGAATCACTAAATTCATAAAATCCCGCAATGTTCTAGAAGTCCACATGTCTATTTCCAAAACTAGGAAGGCACAGACACAGTAATAGGCAGATGGACGTCAAACCCCTGAGTCACATTAGAAACACGGCATGTGGAGCCAGAGAGTGTCCAGAGGCCCAGGTCCTTGCCTGGAATGCGGCCAAATCGAGTGTGATCCCAGCACCACCCAGCAATTCCCTGACCACTGAGCACAGAGACAGGAGGAAGCCTGAAGCACTGCTGGACATGGCCCCAAACCGAAAGACGAAACACCCAAATGTGATAGGTGGCATCTTTTGACAGAAGTTACTTGATTATTTTTCATACTGAAATAGTCCAAAGTAATGCTATTCTTATCTGAAATTGCATAGAAAGGAAAAAAGCTCCCTAGAATTACACTGAGCATCAAAGAGGAAAGTCTCTTGAGGATAAACATTTTATCACAAACAATCCACTGTAGCACTGTAGCACTGTCTTCCTGTTGTTCATCGATTTGCTCGAGCGTGCACCAGTAACGTCTCCATTGTGAGACTTGTTACTGTTTTTGGCATATCGAATATGCCACGGGGAGGAGCTTGCCAGGCTCTGCCGTGTGGGCGGGATACTCTGGGTAGCTTGCCAGGCTCTCCAAGAGGGACGGAGGAATCAAATCTGGGTCGGCCACGTGCTAGGCAAACGCCCTAAATCCACATGAAGATAAATCCCTACTTACTCTGCACACACCCTTCGAGCTCTGTCTTTCGGGGATGTTGGGGGTGGGGGGGTGCTGAGAGCTACTGCTGATGCTCAGCATCTCCTACTCCGGCTGTTTTCGGGGGTCACTCAATGGACCATGCAGTGCCAGGTACCAAACTGGATTCAGTCACATGCAAAGCAAGTGCATTCCCCAGACACCCCTCGAGCCCTCACGGTCCATCTCTGCATAGGAAAAGGAGCTCGGCCTACGAGGTTCTACTCAAAAAGTCTCAACCCGAATGATCATTCACACCAATTTTTTGGGAGGAGGGTGGTGCTGGTGGCGGGTCCTCCAGGGATACATCCCAAAGTGCCCAGAGTCAAGCTCAGTAGCTTTCTAGCCAGCCCTTCTGCTTAGAACACTTCTTCCAAATCTTTAATTGATTCAGGTTTAATGAATTTATTCATCCATGTCTTGACCTCAGAAAAGGAATGTATATTCTGATTACCGTACAGAAAAATCACCCCAACTGCTGCCACCTCCCACCCACCTGCTCACATTATTACTGACATAGAACTTATTCCCTGATACATTACCTACTCATGTTCCCTCTTTATTTTCCCTCCACCAGAATTTAAGATCCCTAAAGGAAACCTAAATGTACTTTTTATATAACCAACATTCAGAAAATTCCTGATGATCAATAGGCACATGCACTTATTGATATTTTACTAACTGAATAAATTTAAAGCCACTAGAGCTAAGGAAAATTTTGGAGGCAAGATTGTATGGAAAGAAACAAAAGGCAGGGAAAAAAAAGTGAGACGTATTTCTCTAAGAAACTCTCCTATTTTATAACTCCACTAAGGACCAATTTCTTCATGTAATTGACACAACCTGACAAGAAATGAGACATATGGCTCACATAATATATTAATTTGATAAAAACAGTCTTTTAAAATGTTAATGGAAAAATTCACTAGTAAGTAACGAAAACAATGCCCTGCTGAACATTTATTTCATCTTTTACTATTATCAAGCTAGAATTAAATTAAAATGGAAAGTTTACCCTTTTTAAGATCTGAACTTTACATCTTTAAAAAACTGAGTGGGGGGGACCTGGAGCGATAGAACAGTGGGTAGGGCATTTGCCTTGCACACGGCTGACCCAGGTTCGATTGCCAGCATCCCATATGGTCCCCTGAGCACTGCCAGGAGTAATTCCTGAGTGCAGAGCCAGGAGTAACCCCTGTGCATTGCCATGTGTGACCCAAAAAAGAAAAAAAAGAAAAACAACTGGGTGAGGGGGCTGGAGCTATAGTACAGCCGGTAGGGTGTTTGCCTTGCACACGGCCAACCACCCAGGTTTGATTCCCAGCATCCCATATGGTCCCCGGAGCACTGCCAAGAATAATCCCTGTGCATCACTGGGTGTGACGCCCTCCCCCACCCCCACCGAAAGGGCCGCATCTACTCATTATAATAAGCTTCAAAACTTTAAAAAAAATAAATTAAAAAAAATGAAAAACTGGGTAAAATGTCCCAGTCATCTTTTGTCCAACCTAAGAGTTACACTAAGATGTCACAGAAAAACCTAAATGTCTGTTATTCTAAAGTTCTGAGCTGTGAAGTGACTTACTGAAGACCAGTGCTAGTGAGCTAAATGCTGGGAATCCAGGCCATCAGATGCTGTCCCCTGGGAGCTCCCCAGTCCCAGCCGCTGAGAAATCCCTGTGTCCTCTTGAAGGACTCGGTTTCAGGGTTAAGACTGCTTTGCCAAGTACCACGTGGGCAAGGTGCTCCTGAGCACTGTATGGTATTGCTCCAATAACAAAAAAAAAAACACAACAACAAAAGTTGACAAATGCCTACAAGCTCAGTAGATTGCAATGTCCCATGAAAAATCTGAACCCAAATTGTGCATATTCACATACCCTTAACTTTGTCATCGTTGGTCTCGGCCCGCCTATAAACGGAGGCTCACTTTGCTCCTCTGGTTCCTCTGCACCCAGGGTCTCCACAAACTCGGGGTGCTGCTCCTGTGCAGAGGACAGCGACTCCGGCAAGTGGAGGAAATGGATCCCGCACTGAGAAGCTGCTGTTTTCACGCGTGGCACCTCCTGAACCCGCTGGTACCATGCAGTCAGCAGTGGGAATTCCACCAGCTTCTCAGAAAGCTTCTTACAGATGGTGACCTAGGCGGGAGCAACACACATTAGGGATAACAGGACACATGACTATATAGTTTTTGCTTGCCGACAAATAGCAACAGTGAGATGACTTCACACTCTGTATAACTCGTGTATTTTAAGTGGAGGTTCAAACAGTAAGCCTGGCCCCCCGGCCCTGAAGAACAAGCACTACCTGCACCTGCTAAACTGGCTTGGACAAAGGATGGTAACACTATCATTCTCTGCAGTATCTGCTTTGCAGAGACATAAATTTGTCATAACATTTTTTGGAAAGAACAAGCTGAAACACACAAATCTCTTCGTTCCTTCTTGCCTCTGGCTTCTGAGCAGATAGCAGAGCTTGAAGACCTATTATAATTTATGCTTTCGGGGGAAGCACTCAAAAAAACTATCAGTGTTCATTCAGGATGCCAAACGATCTGATGCTTTTGAGTTCTCATCGTATCTGTCCTGAAAACCATGTCCTGATTCTTAGAAAACAGGACGGGGTCAGGACAGAGGGAAAGCTCAATAGCCAAGCGCAGGCTTGCGGGCTTGCAGTTCTCAGAGCACCCCGAGCACAAAGCTGGGAGTAGCCCCAAGCGCCACCAGGTGTGGACTCAAAATCAAAGAAAGAAGAAACAGATGTTCTAACCTTTCTACCCATCAAAAGTTTCTCCAGCGAAGGGACAGGGGTGTAGATCTGAGCACTGCTCCAACCTTCCCTGCACTCTGGAATGCAATCAAGTCTCTCCCTTTTGGGAAAAGCTTGGCGGGACGGTATTGGGGGTTCTGGGGTGCTCATGGGGCAGCGGACCTATCTTCAGCATCAACCTTGGGTAGCTGGCCCCAGAATGCAGCTCCCGAGCCTGTAGACCACCGTGAAGAGTGCCTCTGTAACTGTTCAATCTGCTCCTGGCTCAGCTGTGTACAGCATGGCTGACAGTTCTGGATCAATTCTCCTTTCCCAGAATTTCATGTAAGTGGAATCACAAACATGATTTGTGATTTGCTACACTCAAAATGGTATTTTTTTATCATTATGCAGCGCTTAAATTAAGATTTTTACTCTTCAAACTAGAAAGAGCTAAACTATTGCTCCTGATATAGATGCAGTTTTGCTTCTCATGATCAGACGACTTCTCCTGGCATTCCCACCAAACCTCAGTTTTGTTTTGTTTTTTAACCTCAGTTTTTTTTAAAAGACTGTTCTTGCTTATCAAGACACTGAATGCTGTTTCCATGGGAACACTTATAATGTTACAACCATTTTATGACATGATTATGAACAGATAAGTAAAAAGGTCAAACCACAGATAATCTCTACAAAAATATCTAGCAATAATTATAGCCTAAGGAGCTCGAAAAAAACAGAAAAATTAACACACATGAACAATTTATTTTAACTGGACTTTCAAGGTTAAGTAAGCACAAGAAATTGTTTATATGGACAGGCTTTATATCTAACTTCTTATATGCGGAAATATTCAAAATACTACCATACAAATACACTCTTTGAATCAATAAGCAAGAAAATGTCATCAAAGAACATCCCCCAGTGAGCATTTTTCAAACTACTGTATATGATCAAAGGCTATAAAATTAATGTTTTTTAATGAAAAAAAAACCTACTAAAATATTAAGCATGTACATAACCTGCTATAGAAAACAAAATATTTCACAATGTCTTTTCAGCAATTCTGATTGTTTGGGGGGAAATTCTAAACAATAATGGTACATCTCTTGTTGAAATAATGAATGTAATCAATGTAGAGAAGAGTTAAGTAGAAATCATCTGCCTCACAGACATTTGGAGGGGTGGGGGGGTATACTGGGGTTCTTGGTGGTGAAAAATGAGTACTGGTGAAGGGAAAGGTGTTTGATCATTGTATGACCAAGACTTAAACCTGAAAGCTTAGTAACTTTTCCCACAAGTGATTCAAAAAATAAATATAAAAAGAAAAAAATAAATAAAAAAATTAAGGTGGAGTTCATGCCCAATTCAATCAGCTAATCAGTGGCTGAATAAATAGCAGTACTCCTACAAAAAAAATATTAAGCATGTAGAGAAAGATGGTTTACTTTTTAAGTACTTATAAACATACTATAAAGATATTTACGTGAACCCTGGGATGCTCACCATCCCTGAGTCTCTTCCTGTTTGTCCCCAACACTGTGCCTGGTCTTCTTCCTCCCCCAGGTCAGTCATTATTCGAACTCAGGACTTGGCTTTGCCCACATACGCGCTCCAGGCGTCCTCTAGGACCCTGGGACGCTCACCATCCCTGAGCCTCCTCCTGATCCTGCAGCCGCAGGTAATTTACTCATACCTAGAAATCTCATGTAACATCTCAGTCTCCATACCTTCACACCAACATAAAAATATTTACTTGTACGTTGATGACTTATAAAATGCATGATTTATTGTGAGCGTTAAAAAGTCTGAAAATCATCTAAATGACATTCTGAGATGTCAAAAGTTTCACCAAATTTTCACCCAAAAATTTTAATTGCCCAGGAATAGATTATATACTACGCAAATAAAGGTTAAACCAAAGTAAATAATTAAGAAATGTTCTCATTTTCTCCGTTTCTCAAGTCCTCTTAGTAGCAATCTTTTATTATTTATTACATGCACATAGCATCTTTTCTTCCTTTGGAAACTAAGTTGTGACTAGGTAACTATATAATTCATATTTAATGAGTCAATAGATGTGTCACTTTGATCCAATTTTCTTTAAATTAGACATGAACATAGTAAACTAAAGAAATCATGAAGAAGACCAACAGTATTTCATGACAGGTATCAGTGACCCCTCTGTGAACTGAGTTAATAAAGAAGAGAGTCAGGAACAAGAACATTGTTAATCATTTGTCTAGAAAAGAGAATCAATGTTTCTCCCCACCCCACTCCAGAGATAACAGAATATGAATACATGTGACATTTAACATCAATGCGGGGTGGGGAGGAAAACACAGTCCCAGGTGCCATCTGCCTCTCCCTGAACCCAAAGCTGGTTAGGCAGAAAATCATGAGCAGTGGCCCCCTCCCCAAAATCCAGAATATCTAGGGAGCTGGGCTGAGAGCGTAAGTGGTAGAACTAGAGCAAACGCCCGGCAGGTAGGAGTGTGATCCCTGGAGCCCAGAGGATCCCAGGTGCCCAGAGCACTGTCAGGCACCCCCCCCCCCCCCGCCCCCATCTCTCACACGCGGGGAATGCCCATCAGGTGCAGCTAGGATGGGGTGGGGGGTACTCTACGAAAGTAGAAACAAATCATTAGTGTATCTAAACCATTGTTACATCTTTCTTTTTCACCCCATTTCACTGTCAAGTTATTCTGACTATTAATGTTTTGTTTTAGCATTTTAACCCTGGGCCCTCTAATATGAGAAGGGAATCATATTTGAAACAATTTGAAACTAAATGATCATAAGAGTTGCTAACACTGTCCTAAATTGAGCGAGGCTTCCTCCTTGTTGGCCTTTCTCCAGCTCTCTATGTGGGGACGCTGTCCCCGTGCCTCACAGGTGGGCACTTGTCCCTCGCACAGTTGGGGGCTCGGTGCTCCCAACCACTGCCTGCAGATAAGAGGAGGGGCGGGGCTCGGGAAGGGCTGGCCTTACCAGGAAGAGGTGGACACAAGGCAGGAGCACGATGTCGGCCAGCGTGAAGTACAGGCCCTCGGCGAACACGTGCTCCAGCGGGGGCAGCTCCGAGGCCCGGGCCTTGCGGACGTGGGGCGGCTCCCTCCTGGCAGCGGCCGGCTCCTCCTGCACCCCCAGCTTGGAGAAGGCCACCTGCAGCTCCAGGTTGGGGGCCGCGCCGGGGTGCTGGGGCTGGGCGGGACAGGGGCCCTCGGCCTGCTGCTGCTTCAGCTTCTGCCGCCGCAGCTTGTCGTCGTTGTGCACCCGCACTGGCTCCCTCAGCTTCCGCTCCAGCTGCTGCAGCTCGGTGGGGATGCTCAGGGGCTGTGGGGACCCCTGCAGGAAACTCTCAATGGCCAGGGGGACGGTGAGCTCACAGAGTCGCGTCCACTGGCTGACCTGCAACACAAAACCCGCCCTGAAAGGGGTTCTGGGTGGGTGGGGGGGGTGGGGAAAGACAGCGGCTTCCCTGGGGTCTGCAGGCCAGCCGTCCCTGGGAAGGAGCGGGCAGGCCACCGCAGCCACTTCGGGACACGGGCAGTGGTTATCTAAAAATGCAGGCTCTGTTCCTGACCCGGGTCCCAAGGGGCTTTCCTCCTTCCCGGAACTTTCTAGGGCAGCACCCAACCCCTAGGACAGCAGCTTTCCAAAGGCTATTAACAGCCTTTAACAACTCTCAAAGTAACTAAGACAAAAAGCCATCCTCCAGAACATATTTCCAAAGCTCACAGATTTTATCTTCAATGTTACATTCAACACTACACTGAAATGCTGGCTGAGACAAAAGGCTAGTTTGATGTCTCCACACAGCTCAAATAAAAGTCCCTGGGAAGGTGACCAGGAAGGTGACCGCTCCTCACAGCTTTATGAAACAGAAAGAGACCCCTACCTGGGGCTGGAGCGATAGCACAGCTGGTAGGGCATTTGTCTTGCATGCGGCCGACCAGGGTTTGATTCCCAGCATCCCATATGGTCCCCTGAGCACCACGAGGAGTAATTCCTGAGTGCAAAGCCAGGAGTAACCCCTGTGCATCACAGAATTAAGGAAGGAAGGAAGGAAGGAAGGAAGGAAGGAAGGAAGGAAGGAAGGAGCCCCAGACTCACTTCAGCACATGCTTTCAGGCAGGTCTTCTTGAAGCCCAGAAGCTCCAGGATCTCCTTCCTTGAGGGGTCCATGTCGTAGGACGTTTGGATTATGTGTCTTAGCACAACAGCAAGTCCAGCTCTACAGAAATTGTCAGGTTTTTCCACCACTGCAGGCAAACGGCAGTTCTGGACTATGGGGGGCAGCTCGTGCCGTGAGATGACATGGGTTTGAACACCCTGGGCCAGGGGACTTTTGGGCCGTGAAAGGTCCTCACTGTCTTCGGTGAGAACCAAGTAAACCTTAAAGACTTTGCAGTCACAGTAGGCCAAGAGGAACAAGCTCACGGCTGTGTGCAGTGGGAAGACGCAGCCCTCGGACTGGTGGGAGAAGCTGAGGTAGAGGCACTCTGCGGGAGGATGCTTCCTGATGCCTTTCATCTTCTCCTTGCATGGGGGCATCTGAGAAGCAGGGAAGAAACACACTGAGACATGGGGCTCTGATACGTTAACTTAGAAGCTGAGAGAAGGGAGTCTTTCTAAAACTTATGCTAGTATTTGTAAGAGATTAGACTCTACAAAATGTGTTCCTGGTCTCCATAGAATTTCCCCCCCAAAAGTCCTTCTGGGTCAGGGAGCAGTAGTGGGATTAGGTTGCTGCTATGGCTCCCAGCACCCCAGAGGGGGTGTAGATGCGGAGGCCTCATGCGGCATGAGGCCATCCCTGGAGACTCCCTGAGTGCTGTGATGGCCCCAGCACAGAAACAACGGCCACCAGTTGGCTGAGAATCACTGGGAGTGACCGCCAGGGTCCCAAGCCCTGGAAAAGAAAAATTCCAGGGAGGCAGTTGAAGGCAGAGCACACACTGCGTGAGCACACACCTGCAACCTGCCACACCAGGAGCCACAGACCACGGATCTCCAAAAGTGGCCAATAGAGAAAACCAGAAAAGACAAGTATTTCTGCCTGATTGGTTAATGACTGCCAGGGAGCCCCTAAAAGGAGCATTCAGTCATCTGCACAACGGAGAGACAAGAACACGAGATGCCCAGGATGGAAACTTGCTAGCCGAGAACACTGAGAGCCTGTGAAAGTGTGACGACCCCCAGTACCTGTGTCCGCTGCCTCCTGCCTGCCCTGCATGACCTCATTCCTGCCAGACCAAAGGGGTTCCCCACCATGGACTGAATCGCCCCCCAACTGAAGAGACTGAGGCTTAAGCTACCTTACACATGCAAAATATCAAGCTTCTTCTCCCTAGCCCCTAAACCCGACTTTCCTGCATCCTCTGCCCAGCTAACAGCACTTCAGAGGCCCAGGAGGAGAACCCCCCCCCCCCCCGGTCTCCCCCCATATTCCACCACCAATGCCCCCAGCGCCTGCTTGGGTTCCATTGCAGTGTCTCCAAGCACCTGGCCGTGCACAGCATCGCCATGGTTACCTCTGTGAATCAAGAACCAGTCCTGCCAGCTACAGAAGCGTCCTCCCAAGCCTGCTGCCCTCCCCGCTCCATTCTGGTCTGTTCTCAACACAACAGCGAGGATGGTTCTGTCAAAAATGAAGCTCTCATCACTCACGAGTCTGCTTGAACCTTCCACCCCTCAGAGAAAAGGCCAAGTTCCTCCAGCAGCCAACACAGCTCTAGAACGGACTCCTCCACGAGGTTCCTAACCCAGCCAACAGATTCCTCTTCCCTGAATGTCTGCTCATATTCCCGCCCTGGGCCTTGATGTGTCCTGCCCAGAACCCCTTCAACATTTTCAGACATTTCCTCAAATATCCATCTTCCAAGGCTACTGGATTCAAGTTTCAAACTCTAAGCCCCACCCCCCTTGGAAAGGTGTGCTTTGTTCATGTTCCACCTAAGGGCCTGTTACAGGTATGTACATTTTTTTTTAAATTTTTATTTTTATTTTATTTTATTTTTTTTCCCTTTATTTTATTTTAAAGTTGTAGATTTACAATTTTTTGTGATTTGGTTTCAATTATACAATGATCAGATACCCATCCCTCCACCAGTGCCCATTTTCCACCACCATGGATAATATCCCTCCCACCCCCATCCCCCCATCCCCCCTGTCTCTGTGGCAGGGCAATCCCCTGTGTTCTCTCTCTCCTTTTGGGTGTTGTGGTCTGCAAAAGAGGCATTGAGTGGCAAACATGTTCAGTCCATAGTCTACTTTCGACATGCATCTCCCCTCCTGGGAGGATCCTCCAAACATCCTTTATTTGGTGCTCCCTTCTCTATCTGAACTGCCCTTTCCTCTAGGATACCCGGCTGGCCTCTAAGTTATGGAGTAATCCTCCTGGTGCTGATCTCAGCTATTCTTGGGTATTAATCTCATACTTTGTTACTTTATATCCCCCAGATGAATGCAATCTTTCTATGTCTATCCCTCTCTTTCTGACTCATTTCGCTTAGCATGATACTTTCCATATTGTACCACTTGTATGTAAAGTTCATGACTTCATCTTTTCTAAGAGCTACATAGTACTCCATTGTGTAGATGTACCAAAGTTTCTTTAACCAGTCGTCTGTTCTTGGGCATTCAGGTTTCTTCCAGTTTCTGGCTATTGTAAAGAGTGCTGCAATGAACAAACAAGTGCAGATGTCACTTCGACTATACATTTTTGTCTCTCTGGGATATATTCCCAGGAGTGGTATTGCTGGGTCAAATGGGATCTCAATTTCTAATTTTTTGAGAATCGTCCATCCTGTTTTCCAGAAGGGCTGAACCAGTGGACATTCCCACCAACAGTGAAGGAGTGTCCCTTTCTCGCCACATCCACGCCAGCATCGGTTGCTTTTGTTCTTTTGAATGTGGGCCAGTCTCTGAGGTGTGAGATGGTATCTCATTGTGGTTTTGATCTGCATCTCCCTGATGATTAATGATGTAGAGCATTTTCTCATGTGCTTTTTTGCCATTCGGATTTCTTCTTTGAGAAAGTTTCTGTTCATTTCATTGCCCCATTTTTGGATGGGGTTGGATGTTTTCTTCTTGTGGAGTTTAACCAGTATTTTGTATATCCTGGATATCAACCCCTTGTCAGATGTGTATTCGGTGAATATCCTTTCCCATTCTGTAGACTGTCTTTGTATTTTGGTCAGTGTTTCTTTGGAGGTGCAGAAGCTTCTTAGTTTAAGATAGTCCCATTTATCTATCTCTGTTTTCACTTGCTCGGCCAGTGGCGTGGCATCTTTGAAGATACCATTAGCTTCAATGTCATGGAGGGTTTTGCCAACTTTATCTTCAATGTACCTTATGGTTTCTGGTCTGATGTTGAGGTCTTTAATCCATTTTGATCTTACTTTTGTACATGGTGTTAGGCAGAGTTCTGAGCCTATTTTTTTGCATGTAGCCGTCCAGTGATGCCAACACAATTTATTAAAGAGGCTTTCCTTACTCCACTTCACATTACTTGCACCTTTATCAAAGATTAGATGAGCATATGATTGAGGAGAGATGTCAGTGTATTCAACCCTGTTCCATTGGTCTGCAGTTCTGCCTTTGTTCCAGTACCATGCTGTTTTAATTATTACTGCTTTGTAGTACAGTTTGAAGTTCAGGAGGTTGATTCCTCCCATTTTCTTTTTCCCAAGAATTGCTTTAGCTATTCGTGGGGGCTTTTTGTTCCATATAAATTTCAAGAGTGTTTGCTCCATTTCTTTGAAGAATGTCATGGGTATCCTTATAGGGATTGCATTGAATTTATACAATGCTTTCGGTAGTATTGCCATTTTGACAATGTTAAGCCTCCCGACCCATGAGCAGGGGATATCTTTCCATTTCCTCATGTCCTCTTTTATTTCCTGAAGTAGCGTTTTGTAGTTTTCTTTGTACAGGTCCTTTACTTCCTTAGTTAAGCTGATTCCTAGGTACTTGATTTTCTGGGGCACAATTGTGAATGGGATTGTTTTTTTCATGTTGCTTTCTTCTCTCTCACTGTTTGCGTATAGGAAAGCCATGGACTTTTGGGTATTGATTTTATAACCTGCAACTTTACTATACGAGTCTATTGTTTCTAGGAGTTTTTTGGTGGAAGTTATTGGGTTCTCTAAGTAGAGTATCATATCATCTGCGAATAGTGAGAGCTTGATTTCTTCCTTTCCTACCTGAATGCCCTTAATATCTTTTTCAACAGGTATGTACATATTATCACGAAGCTCTTATTGAATAGATTTATCAGAAACACACAGGCTTTGCTTATTTTACAGATGCAACAATACACAATTATTGGGGGGTGGTGGTGGGCATTTTCAAATCACATTCCTTAACACATGTGTCTGTTATTAAAAATTTAAATTGATATAAAAATTTTTCTAGGGGGAATTTCATTTCATTTTATTTTTTATTAAAAAAATTTTTAATAGTGAGACATCATGAGGTACAGTTGCAGACTTACAAATTTTTGTGCTTGGGTTTCAATTATGCAATGATCAAATACCCATCCCTCCACCAGTGCCCATTTCCCACCACCACAGATCCCAGTATCCCTCCCACCCCCATCCCCCCTAGGGGGAATTTTAATCCATAAATCATAGCACCAAACTTGACGCTAGATGGCACACTTGAAGAGGCATTCACCATGGAAGCAGTAACAGGGTGCTAGGGTACTTATGGTTGAAGAGTAAAAAACCATTGAAAACTACACATGCAACCCAGGCGCATATTTGAACTACCAGTGTGCCCAGAATTTTATAAAATCTTCAATGTTCCAAAATTCCTTTGATATTCTAAATTCTTTTACTATTCTAACAATTTTAAATCAAAGGTCACTTTTTAATGCTTCTTGCTCACTTTTTAGTGAACTTCTATTTTTCTGTCTTTTGGCTATACCTGGGAGTGCGCAGGGCCTATACCTGGTTGCGTGCCCAGGGGATGTATGCAACACCGGGGACTAAACCTAACTAACCCTCCTTGCACAAACATGTGCTTCAGTTAACTGTGCTCTCTGAGGTCCCTCAGTATTTTATTGATTTGCCTTTTGGCTAGGCCCAGGGGGCCACTGGGGTGCTGAGAATGTGAACCTGGGTCCACTGGTAATGAGGCGAGCTTCAGGCCCACTTTTCAGTATGTTAAAGGAGCGAATCATTCATTACCATAACACAGGGGATATAAGTACTATTATCTTTTAAAATCATTTAATAATACAATCGCTTTTCCATATTTTTAAATAAAGATAACAGACTGTACCATGTTTTTTGTTTAATATTCTCTAGAAACTATTCCATATAGCTTATAAACAATAAGTTAAATTTTATTATTGAAGCACATGGTTCACAATAGTATTAAGACTTCTGCTTCAATCACCAGTACCACCACCAAAGCACCAAAACTCTCTACACTGTGCCCAGATCACTTTGAGCCCACTCCCACAGCTCTGTTCTAAAAGCCCAATGGTTTATTTCTATTTATTTTTTGGTTTTTTTGTCACACTGGGCATTGCTCAGGGATGGCTC